GGAGGGGAGGAGAGTAATACGATTCATTGATAAATATTGGGAATAAAACCATACCACTCCCTGTGAATAAGACCACCACTGATGGATTTCGTTATGTCTGCATTCGTATAGATTGTTTAGTGTAAGCTGGGTAGTGCGCACTGTAGTTCCACCTGACCAATGTCGTTTTGACACCCATGCAACAACTTCTTGTGTTTATGTACTACTTGCTATATTTGAGTAACATTTGTTTGTGTTATATGTTATTGCTGCCAGTCCATCGCCTCCTGGCCCTCACCTTTATATTCATAGACACTTTAGAGCGTACCTATTCCTCTGTAGCATCCCTCTACTAAAACCCACTATTGTACTAGATCTGAAAAGTGTATATATGTATCTGCTTTTGCAACTAGCAAAAGAGATCGTTTCCATATCTGTACAGATTTGACATCCCCTCTCGTATTTTTTATGTTGCATTTTTCAACTTGTTGATATACTTACATTGCAGGTAAACAAATAGAGAGTTCCAAAGTGCACACCTATATTTCCCTCAAGTAAAATAAACTGATCTGAATCCACAACCAGTGATTGCGAGCAATTCACAAAACCTGCATAACAACCCACAACAAAGCAGACAAAAGCGAGTCTAGGGCCCAATAAGCGATAAGCAGATCGAGTTAGGTCCATTCTTTAAAATGCATATGAGGGAATCGTTCTGTGGTATGCATACTGGACATTTAAAGGATTTAGCATAAATTAGTCTTTAAGCAACAAGTTATTTTGTAGTGACCAGTACCAGCCTACCAAAAGATGGCATGGACAGGTCTATACGAACATACATTAAGAAAACGTCAGATAATCAATGGCATAATAGATCTGTGCGAAGAGAAAACCAGCGAAACTAGTCGATACGCTGTTGTTATTCGTTGAAGAACGCTTACCGGTTGCTAGAGGAGCTCATTTGGCCCGTGCGGCCTTGGGACTCACTCTTGAACTCTGCCGGCAGCTGCACAGTGGCTAGTAGTCAATCTTCTTCCCCATTATTCTTCGTCTTTCTGTGTACACAATATACTGTTCCTACTACTCTGGCATCTACCGACTTCTTCTTTACTAAGTTACCATGGTCTGAAGATCGCAGTTGCTAGGGTTCAACTTACTTAGCCCCTGTGATAGTAGTTTAGACTGATGAATATTGCCAGCGATGACAAGGGAAAATGAAACAGTAACTTCTTACTCATTAGCCGCCATCAGCTAGTTCTATCCAATTCTTTGTAGTGCCATACCCGACGCTCGAATCCGCAACTCGTTAATCATAAGTCCAACGCTCTAACCATTGAGCTACGGGCTCCTTGTCTGACCGGTTAGGGGGCGCTCCTTGATCAAGATGTCAAAGCCAGGCAGTGGAGCCTGTTTGGTTAGTGAAGCATATTTGTAGGGAAGGCAGAGTTTCCGTGGATGGTTGGCAGTATGAAGAAGTGGATGAAAACGCTCAGTGGTCGATCAGAAGTCGGCTATTACTTATTCTGCAAGGTTCTTTATCCGAACTGCCTGCTAGTGAAAGCGTCATCTTTCGTTGCATTGACACTCAATAAGACTGAACTTATATCCGGGACTTGTGTTTCCCGCACATTCTATTCTTATTGGACAACTAGCGGTTGCCGCTTGGCGATGTTGTTCTTTCCATCTGTGAGAATTCAGTTAGGAGCGAACTAGAAATGCATCAAATTTCCCAGCTACACGCTAATCCATACGATCAGATAATTAAATAATGACAATTGGTATTGGACACATTCTTTTAATAAGTTAGAAGGTGTATGTCTTTACTCTTTTTGACTAAGCAACGACTGCTCGCTTTCTACCTACAATTATAGAAAGGTCTGTTTTTTCGACAAATTTATGCTCTCTATCACCGCATTTCCTACTCACTTTATTAATAAGGAGCTCAAAGCTGTTTGCCTATCTTGCCCTTAACTTAACTGAACTGAATCTGTTCCCTGATATACCATGTAATTTCTTTTATCATTCCCTGGAGTAGCATAGAAGCGGCCATCTGACTGGGCTTCACTGGGCCTGGCTCCACTTACCTCGAAAGATTTCTCCAAGTCCAGGCGGGATTTCGCGGCCTCGTCTGCCTCTGTCTTTATCGCACGCAGGACCTCCAAGAATTTGGTGTACTCCTGTTTCTCCTCCTCGTCGACGGACTAAAATTCACACAGGTCAATGAAAGACTTGTCAACAGAGAGGGAAATTTCTGCAAAATATCCATTTATTTTTTAAAGTTTACCGTGGAGTTTGCTACCCCCTTGACGCCTCAAACATAATCAACTGGCTGTTGCAAGCCTTACCGCCAGGCTGTGCTCGTAATATGCAAAAGAACGGACGTTATTTCTGTCATTTTTACCTAGCGGTTATCTAATGACCCGTATGTATAAATTATCAGAATAGAAATGTCAGCAGTTGGTATGTCATATGTGGAAAGGCCTTCTCCGAGGAAAAAGTGAGTCTAGAGCAACTTTCGAGGATTTTCGACCTCTCGTGGTTTCGATGGCCATCAAATTCGGAGAGCAACCGATCGAAGACATCGTAAAGAACGCTTTTGGTTGTAACGGCATTCACCAATGTCGAATGGACGCTGTACATTTGCCGATTAACGTCCTTCTTCATCACCCAACGGAGGTATCATTCCGATGTAGCTTACGACTTAAGTCGATTTACTTTAGATCGCAGTCAGCCTCTCCACCCTCAAGACTGCGAAGCATTTTAATTTTTGCTAACAGCCTGGGCCTCAATGCCATGGGACATCAATAAAGCAATCCGAATTGGAACAAGGCAAGAAAACATCGTTTGATGCTGAAAAGTTGGCTATTGTGTTTAATCTTTTCATATACCAGTCCATCGTAGACCACTTGGTCGTTCTTCTGCCTGATTTCCCATTTTCGAATTTCTCAACGCGCCCACCGCATCGTCGAGGCAGCGTGGGAACGAAAGTGGTGACTAACTCCCCTCCCCCCCCCATCTCCCCCGAGACACATATGAACCTAGCTGACAATTCTGACTGATTATACTGAAAAAAAGCACTGGGGACGGGGTCCGCAGTATCCACTCCATTTGCTCCTCCCCCACCCCTACCGCTTCCAGGCACCAGCAGCTATCAGCTACCGGTAAAGCCATCAGTTGCCGTGACCGTCTAATGCCTGCCTAGCACATGCGGGAGCAATGATCCCGGCCCACGCAGAGTCAGCTTAACCCGACCGACACATGCCACGAGTCAGTGGAACCAAGGCTCCGGCTGTTTCGGGTGGGGGGTAGGGAGGAAGGGCCAGATATGGGTCCACTTGCACGTCGCCTGCCGCCTTAGGGAATGAGCCAACCGGATGCGAGATCGGTCT